GGCTCAGGAGTTACCAGACAAGTCTCGTTTGCTGCCTGTGGCCGCTCACAGCGTCGGTGCCCACTCAAGATGCACCCAGGAGCCACCTGAGAGCCCTCCTGGCTGCTGCACTGAGGGGGCACCGGTGTCTCCTCGTCCCCGAGGGGCATCCGTGAGCCCTGTGCAGACACCTGAAGATGCCCGAGGGCTTCTCAGATGGCACCGGAGCACCAGGCAGGCCAACCCTGAGGCTGCTCGGTGAAACGGGCCACAGTTTGTTCCCCCACCAGGCAGAGGCCCAGCAGCTCTGTCCTCCCACAGGAGGGAGATACTTCAAGGCAGCTTCCACCTGGGCTTCTGTCCCCATCAGAGGGTACCAGGGGGTCCTTCCGTCCCCATCAGATGGTACCAGGGACCCCAAGGGGTCTGGGGTGCTGGGGGCAGCGATGGCTGCATAAGGATCCTCTTGGAGCATCCCAGATCCTTCCTCATCCCTGATGGCCGCGAGAGCATCCAAGAAAAACTGCACAGCTCTCCACCCTGCTCCAGCTGCATGCCCTCACCCATCCACCTACCCCCAGGGCTGCCCCTGTGCCTGTGCATCCATCCCCCTCGCTCTTACCTCCCGTATATCCCTTCATCCATCCATCCCTCCATGTGTCCATCCATCCGTCTGTCCATCCATAGCACGCTGCATTTGTCCCCCCAGCGCCTCTCGCCCAGGCCGGTGGAGCAACTCGGAGCCGGGCACCACAATCTGCTATTTCTTGCTGCCATCTAGCGAGCAGATATTCCCAGGGAAACAGCCTCTCCTGCAGCTCATCCTGGGACCGGTGTCTCCCAGCAGCTGGATTGGGGATGGATGGAGGTGGAGGGCTTGGAGCGGCTCCTGTGGGAGCTGCCCGGGTGAAAGCAAGTCCTAGGGACTGGGAATGCGATGGGGAAACCCTCGAGCTCCCTCCATCCTCCTCTGATGCGCTCCCTCTTTCCCGCTGCAGGACGAGAAGAACCAAATGATGACCACCAACGTGTGGCTGAAGCAGGTAGGAGCCTCGTCCCTCTGTGGGGCAGGAAGGGCATCTGGGGCAGAGAAACCCTGACGAGAAGGAGAGTTGTGCTGGTCCTTGCTGTACCCCGGAGCAGCCTGACACCCTTCCCTCCATCCCCGTGTCCCTGCAGGAGTGGAGTGACTATAAACTGCGCTGGAACCCGGCGGACTTCGACAACGTCACTTCCATCCGCGTGCCCTCCGAGATGATCTGGATCCCCGACATCGTGCTCTACAACAAGTGAGTGGTGATGTGGGGCAGGGGCAGCCACCAGGCTGCTCGCCCCCATGGGCTTTGGCCACCTTAGCTAGGTCTCAGCAAGGTCTCAGCTAGGTCTCAGCAAGGTCTCAGCAAGGTCTTCATGTGTCTCTGCCCCACACAGCGCCGACGGGGAGTTTGCCGTGACCCACATGACCAAGGCCCACCTCTTCTCCAACGGGAAGGTCAAGTGGGTGCCGCCCGCCATCTACAAGAGCTCCTGCAGCATCGACGTCACCTTCTTCCCCTTCGACCAGCAGAACTGTAAGATGAAATTTGGCTCCTGGACCTACGATAAGGCCAAGATTGACCTGGAGAACATGGAGCACCACGTGGACCTCAAGGACTACTGGGAGAGCGGTGAGTGGGCCATCATCAATGCCATCGGCACCTACAACTCCAAGAAATATGACTGCTGCACGGAGATCTACCCCGACATCACCTTCTGCTTCATCATCCGCCGCCTCCCGCTCTTCTACACCATCAATCTCATCATACCCTGCCTGCTTATCTCTTGCTTGACCGTGCTGGTCTTCTACCTGCCCTCCGACTGCGGCGAGAAGATCACACTCTGCATCTCCGTCCTGCTGTCCCTCACCGTGTTCCTGCTGCTCATCACCGAAATCATCCCTTCCACCTCCCTGGTCATCCCCCTGATCGGAGAGTACCTCCTCTTCACCATGATCTTCGTCACGCTCTCCATCATCATCACCGTCTTCGTCCTCAACGTGCACCACCGCTCGCCGAGCACGCACAAGATGCCGCGCTGGGTGCGCAGCTTCTTCCTCAACTTCATCCCGCGCTGGCTCTTCATGAAGCGGCCGCCGGCGCTGCCGCCCGGCGCCGCGGGGCAGTACGACCTGCACGCCGCGAGGCTCAGCCCCTCCCGCCGCTGGCC